ATATATATATATATATGACTTAGAATATCTATAAAAATTCACCATAAAAATTGTTTATACATCTCAGTAATATATGTGTCGTAATCACCAAAAAAATCAAAATGAGATTTAGAAGAAACACGACTAATAGGATACAAAATATTATTTTCATTTATTTTCGTTTTTTATAAGGCCTTAATTTATTTTCGTTACAAAAGAACTTAAGAGACGAAATTAACCCCTATTTATTACCTGAAGACATGATCAAAGCAATGCATAAAATTGTAAAGAAAAAATGTTGGTAGACGTGAGAAGCCATTTTTTTTTTTTTGAAGATTTCACCTTTGAACTCTCGTATCTTTCCTTCTTGTAAGGAAGATGAATAACACGATGTACCTTATATAATATCTATTTGAGAAGTTAAGAGAATTAAAATTAAAATGAATTGAAACATAGAATTGAGAGAGAAGGGAACGGAAGATGCTATCTGTTGAGCCATTAATGTACTTCTTTCTTAAATGATATATGGAGTAGACTATAACTGAAATGAAAAACTAGGAAATTTATCCATAGAAGTTACATTAGACAAAGAAGTATCACCTCCAGCTAGTGTACCCTATAACGAAAAAGAACACGAAAAAGTTTAATTTAAACCAAACAACAAATTAAACAATGATATCATGATCAGCCTTCACCAAAAGTGACAAAGTATATAAATTTGACACTTAACCTATGAGTTAAACACACGGACGTAAGAGCTTCTTTGGTACATAAGGTAACAGTTTAGTTAAACTGATTTTTATTTTCACACATCAAATTTTTTTTAATTATTTTAATTATTTGACATATTTTCAAGAACCAATTCTTATTTTAAAAAAAATAAAATAACTATAATAATACTCATTCAGATCATTGATTTGATTATAGTAAAATTTAGTAATTTAAAAAGATGTGCAATTATTCAATACAATTAGTTTACTATTAATAGAATTATTTGTTTATTTATATTATTACACTACAAGAAAACGGTGAATAAGCGGCGAAAAATAAGCGTAGGTTAATAGTTGATGCAAATAGTGTCGAAAAAGCCGACACTATTTTAAGATGTAGCATTGGCTTTTTCGACACTAAACTTAATTTAAATTTAAATTAAATTAGTGTCGGAAAAGCTGACGTTATTCTGACGCTAAACTTAAAATATTTAATTTAAATTTATTTTAAATTTAGCGTCAGAAATGTCGACGCTATTCTTTAAATATAGCGTCGGTTTTTCTGACACTAATTTAATTTAAATTTAAATTAAATTAGTGTCAGAAAAACCGACGCTATATTTAAAGAATAGCGTCGACATTTCTGACGCTAAATTTAAAATAAATTTAAATTAAATATTTTAAGTTTAGCGTCAGAATAACGTCAGCTTTTCCGACACTAAACTTAATTTAAATTTAGTGTCAAAAAAGTCGACGCTACATCTTAAAATAGCGTCGGATTTTCCGACAGTATACGTGTTTTGAGAGAGATAAAGATAATTTTTTCAATATTATATACGCATAATGTGTTTTAGTACACTTGGTTATCAAGTTCACTTAAAACCTCAAGGTTCACGGATCGAGTCCTAGGAATGTTAAAAATACAAACAAATAAATGATAAACTGGAAAAAGAAGATAAAGAAAAAAATAAAATAAATTTTGTGTCAACATAGTGTCGGCTTAACCGACAATAAAAAATTAAAATAATTAAATTTATTAGTGACGGCTTAGCCGACAAAAAAAATGTGTTGACTTATTTAGCGTCAGCCAAAAACTGACGAATAATCGACAATATTACGTCGGTTTTTATGATTTGAATCGGAATATTCTTGTAGTGTTAATAATATATATTAATTATTATTATTATTATTATTATTATTATTATTATTATTATAATATATAGATAAATAGACTGATATATCAAGTCTAATAGGTTTTTCTTTATAATCCTAAGTTTTGTCATTCCTACCCAATTTAATAAATCAGGTACTATTTTTATTCGCACTCATATCCAATCAAATCAAGTATTCTTTGTTAAAATTGAAATGGAATTAGACATTATTCACAACTACAAATTTACTTATCACTCGTATGCATCACGAAGTAAGCAACACCCCGTCAATCATTTTGTATTTAACATGCTTGTCTAGCACATTAACAACTAACGAAATCCTCACAAGATTACACCATTTCTCAAATTCCTCCTCAGTAACACAAATGGTAGGACATGGACACAACTTGACAGTCATCCCTGTCGAAAACATCATCATCTTTATAACACTCGTCATTTGGAAATTCTATCTCCTTTACAAAACTATTAAAGTTAGTGAAGATCTTCCCTATAAGTTGGAGGAATGTTTTCTAAAACCCATCTACACATCATTCATATTCTCGTGCACAACAACAACACCTTCCTTTCGTTTAACTGTTTTAGTACTCTCTCTAAAATCTTGTCAAACCCCTTTTCACCGAATGCCATCCATATTTTGATTTTTACAATAAAGTCAAATTATTGAAAAATAAATTAAAGAGATTATTCATTTCATATATGTATTTTAGGGTCTCTTTGATTTCAGAAAATGTTTTCTATTTTCATTTTCAGTTTTTATTTTTTTGAAAACAATTTTTATTTTCATATTTCTATCATTTTGAAAATATGTTTGTTTTGACTTCTCATCTTTTATTTTCTGAAAATGAAAACATTAAAAAATGTTTGATATAACCAATTATAAAGTTATGTTAAAAAAATCAATAGACATGTTTCTACATTTTAGCCAAAGTATATTCTCAACTTATAGATAAAAAGATCAAGTGATTTACAAAATATATACAAAGTATTGTTGTAATCACTAAAAAAATGTTTCACTTTAGAGTTGGCCAAAAGTCGACTCTAAATAATAAAAACGACATAATATTATCGATTTTTAGATGATGCACGCTAAATAAGTTGACACAATTTTTTTTGTGTTGGCTAAGCCATCGGTATCAATTTTACTTATTTTAATTTTTTATTGTTGGTTAAGTGGACACTACATCGACACAATTTATTTTATTTTTTTTCTTTCTTCTTTTTCCAACTTATTATTTATTTGTTCGTATTTTTAATAACATTCTTGAGACTCGATCTTGGAACCTTGACGTCTTAAGTGAACTTGATAACCAAGTGTACTACAACACATTATGCGTATATAAGATTGAAAAAATTATTTTTATCTCTCTCAAAGCACGTATACTATCGGAAAAGTCGATGCTATTTTAAGATGTAGCGTCGACTTTTTTTACACTAAATTTAAATTGAGTTCAATGTCAAAAAAGTCAATGTTATTCTTTAAATATAACGTTAGCTTTTCTGAAACTAACTTAATTTAAATTAGTATCGAAAAAGTCGACGCTATATCTAAAGAAATAGCGTCGGCATTTCTGACGCTAAACTTAAAATAAAGTGAAATGTCGACGCTATTTCTTTAGATATAGTGTCGGCTTTTCCGACACTAATTTAATTAAATTAAGTTAGTGTCAAAAAAGTTGACGCTATATTTAAAGAACAGCGTCGGTTTTTTCAATACTAAACTCAATTTAAATTTAGTATCGAAAAAGTCAACACTACATCTTAAAATAGCGTTGACTTTTCTGACAGTATTTGCGTCAGCTATTAGCCAACGCTTATTTTCCATAACTATTTTAGTGTTTCTTGTAGTGAATATTCTTAAACTTTTGATACAATATTATAAATTTTCTTATCACTATCTTATTCTTAAAATAATATTTTTAAATTTTTAGTTATTCATATTTAAAATAAATAAATAAATATAGATGTTTTATTTTTTATATCTTATGATTTTTATATTTCCAGCAGATTAAAATAGAAATATTTATTATTCAATTTTAGTATAATTTTTTTCTTCCAGAATAATATTTTAATAATTATGCTATATATATATATTTAAAATTGTTAAAATTTCAAATGTTTAATATAAATAATTATATTAATTTTTTTATACATCAAAATATATTATGAATGGGTAAAAGAAAAAGAAAATTAATATACAAAAAAAATTCTACAATAAGAATATCTTATTGTTGTACGGGGCTTATCCCCTCATTAAACAAGATTTTATCTCTTAAAAGAGATAAGTTTAGATAATAAAAAAATAGCCTATAAATAGGATGAGGGGAGGGGGGACCATCGAGCAAGTAGGTAAAAAAAAAAAAAACAAATAGAGAAAGAGTGCGAAGAGAGAAATAAGAAGAAGATAGTGAAAAAAAACAAAATTTACGCAGTTAACTCTTGATAATTTTACGTTCTAAGGTAAAGGAGAAGAGATCTTTATCCTTTTAAAATTTTATATATTATTTTGTTTTTTTATTTATGTTATATCTATATGTATTTATTTAATGAGGTGTCCCTAATTTCATTTACTTACTTTATTTAATATATATTTTTACTCATAATAATTAATTAATGAGATGTTCTTAGTTTATGTTATTTAATTATTTTATGATGTTTATCACTATTCACTATCATTCACTAAATGAATATTCTTTAATTCCATTTTTGTAAACTATATTATAGTAAATTTTAAATAATTAAAAATACTTAAACTTAATTAGTTTAATTATTTTTATATTAATATTAACTATAATATAGTTTTGTTAAAATATCCTAAGCCATCTTGTTATTTTTTCATGCATTATAAAGATAAATATTATTCTATGGCCACAAGGAATAAAGTTGAATTAATTTTGTAGTTTTTTTTAAAGGGATTAATTTTATAGTTGGAGGTTTGACCTTGGAGATTTAAATGATTAAGAACTTAAGGTGAAATATCCTTTTGTTGGTTAATATTATGATAATGTTCATTTATCCTCACTAGTCACTACTAAAGTCAAGCATATATATATATATATATATATATATATATATATTTAATGTTAGTTATAAATAATTTTGTACATTCTATTAAATTATTTATATTTATTGAATAATTGTTCTCCGTTCTCACTCCTTATTTTTCTTTGTTTAAAAAAATTGAATTAATTATAATATAAAATAGATGGATTTGTCAACAATACCGGGTCCTTTTCCTTCAGTTATATCAACAGTATTTTCTACAATGAATTGGAGTGTGGACGCGGTTGCTAATTCAGTTACCTTACACGGTGTGACATTATCAACTTTTACATTATCTCCGACTCAATAAATTCCTACGGTTATTGATGACATTATAATAGTTGTGACACCCTCTACGCCAACATTAATACACAATAAATGTAAACAATAATTTTTTTCTTTTCCTTTTTGAGTAAATAAAATCTTTCATAGTTGACAACCTCTTTCATGGATAAAATAATTGTCTCA